TCTTATTTGATTCTGTTTTTGTATTTCCTTTTGGTTATTTTCCACTTTCTCAGAAGTTTCCTTTATTTTTTTTTTATCATCTGTATTTTAAATTCCCCTTCTGTCATTTCTAACATTTCTTTATAAGTGGAATCCTCTGCTGTAGCTACCTCACAGTCTCTTGAAGGGGTTGCTCTGGACTGGTATTTCATGTTGCCAGGATTTTTCTGCTGATTCTTCTTCATGAGTGCTTTTTTGTATCTGTTTCCTTAGCCTAATTTTTCTTTCACTTCTCCTTGCTCTTTAAGTTACTGTGCCTCTAACCTAAAGTTTTAATGAGTCCTTTTCATATGGGAGCAGAACAATGAGAACATTGAAGAGCAAGAAGAGAAAAAAGATTTTAAAAAGAAAGAAAAAAGAGAAAGAAGAGGGGGTGAGTAAAAGGAAATATTGACAAAAAGAAGAAAGGCACCTAAAGGAGGAGACAGGAGTAATATAGGCATATAATAGGGTACTATGACCCAATCTGAAAACCCTCAACCTCTGGGGGTGCTGGGTTGGGTGGTTCCTGGAGGTCAACAGCTCTTTGCCAGCCTTATCAGCCTTATCAGACACAGTACCCCACTTCCACCAGGTAGAGAGAAAAGACAAAAATACCATAAATCAAACCAAAACAAACAAGCAAAAACCCTTATGGGATAAAATTGGGGGAAAAAACAAATACTAAGGGCAGAAACACTGGCAAAAATGAAATTCTAATTATTAAAGAAGGCAGAAATGGAAGATAGTGAAAAAGAGAAAAAAAGAAAAAAAATAAATAAATAAGAGAAAAAAAGAACAAAAAGAAAAAAAAAGAAAAATGTCAAGGAGAAATGTTGAAATTAAGAAACAAAACAAAACCAAAAAACTAAACAGTATATGTATCTTGCTGAATATTGTCCGGGCAACAGGTGATCTGAGGTATGAGATGTTAATCACAATGTTGATACAGCTGTACCAGAAGGCCACTGGAGGCCTCTGATGATTTCTCACACCCTGCAGGGTTGGGAACCCGAATGTCTCCTCAGCCCGCTTAAAAGACACTCCAAACTATGAACCTTGGCTAAGCAAAAGCTTTCCAAGGAAAGCACTTATCAGTGGGATCTCTCTTGCCATGGCTGCCCACTTATCCAGTGCACCAAAACTGGTCTCACTCTATGCCCCTGAAGGCCAAGGCTGTTAAACTGCCAAACACTTAGATCTCTGCTCTTCCCCAGCATCTCAGTCCCCATCTTTGGGCAGCTCAGTTACTAGATTAGTCACCCAAGGTCTCCCAGCCAATCTTCATGCTGCAACATGCAGGGGCAGCTCCCCGACAGTAGCTGTGCAGGCAGCCCCAGCTGAATGATACTAGCTCCTTTCCAGCTCAGCGGCTCAGTCTGGGTCCCCAGACAACACCCATAGTTGTCCACACAACTGCCCAAGATCTCCCAAAGCAGTTCAATCGAGTGCCCAAGTCCAAAAAAACCAAGACAGCCTACAGGTAAGGCTTTTCCTGCTTGCAGTCTCACTGTTGCTATGGTTACAGCTGCGAGCAGCCTCTGACCAAACAAACACACCTACCACTTGCCAGTTTTCCACTGCTTTTGTCCTCCTTGTGTTGTCCAGAAGTCTCTCACTGACTTCCTGTGTCACCAAAGGGAAATTTGTGGGCAGAATCCACTGGCCAGAGATGCCTGGAGTCTTCTTTCCCCATTTTCACTGTGCCTCGTTGCATAGAAGCTGTTAATCAGCTGCCATCTTGTTGCCAACACCTACTTTGAACATATTTATAATAGCAGGCTTACCTTCTGTTTTTTTTTTTTTTAAACAGGAAATTTGTGATATTATGTGGTAACTCTGAAAATCAGATTCTTCCCTGAGTTTGTTGCTTTTGCCATGTCATTGTTATTCATCACTTTCCTAGATTAATCCCATAAAGTCTGTATCCTCTCCAGTATCCATCCATTATAGTATCTACTCAGTCAAATTAGTGGTCATCTAATGAGTAGTGAGAGATTTCCTTAACTGACTTGAACCAATATGTTTTCCACCTTTTCCTAACTAGATTTGTGTGTGGTGGTTTCTAGTTGCTGACTGGATCTATATGTGATCAATGACCAGCCAGTTTACAACTTAGTTGCTTGTTGGAAAATTCTTGGCCATTTTATCATCAGATATTTCTTCTGTGTATTCTCTTTTATCCCCTAGAATCTTAGTGACATGCATGTCATAGCATTGTTAAGAATGTCTCACTTGGTAGGCACAACAGCTCACACCTGTAATTCCGGCACTTAGCATTTTGAGGGACCTAGGTGGGTGGATAGCTTGAAGCTAGGAGTTTGAGATCAGCCTGGGCAACATAGCAAGACTGCCTCTACAAAAAATAATAAAAATTAGGCAAAAAATAATAAAAAATTATAGGCTCATTCCTATAATCCAAGCCATTTGGGAGGCTGAGGCAGGAGGGTCACTTGAACACAGGAGTTTGAGGTTGCAGGTATGATTGTACCACTGCACTCCAGCCTGGTGAAAGAGTGAGAAGAATGTCTCACAGGTCTGATGCCTGGACTAGTACACATGGCAAAATCCTGGACTTCACCCACTGCCTTAAGGGGGAAGTCTTTAGGGAAAGGCTTATGATTGTATTTTTCAGGGAAAAGGGACATGGACTGTAGTGGCCAGAACAAAGACTGTGGTAATTGATTTCCAAAGTTGGCTACCAGCAGTTCCTCTGGCAAAGTGGAAAAGTTTCTTCCTAGAATTAACACTGATCTTGTGGCTTGTTCTGACCAATAAGATGCAGCAAAAGTGATACCCTGGGACTTCAAGGCAGGCTTAAGGGACTTTGGCTTCTGCTTTCCTGCTCTTAAGGATCTAGCCTTGTGAAAAGGAGTTGCTTCAGGAGGGAGGGAGGAATGCCTAGCCCCTGGATGCCTGAGACACCCCAGCTGATGTGCAGGACTGGTGAGGGCAGCCCTGGGGACATTCTGGCCCTTGCTGAGCTTCCAGGTGATTATAGTCCCAAGAGTGCCTCCAGGGGTCCCATGTGCAACAGAATATCTCAGTCAAGCCCCACCCCATCTACAAAATTGTGAAAAATCACACTTCATTATGGGCTTTGGTTTTGTTTTCGTAAAAGCATTTTATTATGAAATAATTATAGATCCGTAGGAAGTTACAAAAATAGTAGTCCTGTGTACCCTTCATCAGCTGCCTCCACTTTAGCCTAGTTTGACATCAGCTGCCTCCACTTTAGCCTAAAAATTGACATTGGTATTTACTATTGATAGATAAATTACACTTGGTAATTTAATCACTTAAATGTGATTAAATCACTTACCAATGTGAAATTCATATAAAATCAAAGCGTATAATTCAATAGCTTTTAGTACATTCACAATATCACCACTATCTAATTCTAAACATTGCCATCATCCCCAGTGGAGAAACCGTGCCCTTTAGGGAGTTAGTCCCTATCCCCTCCTGCTCCAGGCCCATCAACTACTACAACATTCTGTCTGTGTGGACGCACCTCTTGTGTATATGTCATATATGACTTTTTGTGTCTGGATTCTTTCACTTAGCAAAATGTTTCTAAGGTTCATCAACTTTTCTGTAAATCTGAAACTGTTCTAAAATTGAAAAGTTTATTTAAAAAACCAAGAGCTAGTAAGCCTTGCTCCTGTCCTGGCTGCCCTCAGCACACCATGGAAGCAGACCCTCCCTGGTAGCAGGGATGTGTCAAGGGGCCATTGTGGGCACCTGGAGGCCTTGTCACCCAGATGAGCTGGGCAGCCCTGCAGCTACCTTCCCACCAGAGTCTGGCACAACTGCAACAGTGGCCTCAGCCTTGGGCCCCACAAGTGAGTGCTTAGGGGCCCTGTGCCTAAGAGATAGGGGATAGGGTTACCCCTGCCACTTTCAAGTCAGGTTAAGTCCCCACTTCAGGGGCAGGAGCCTGGGACTGAGGGTTCACTGAGGTATCCATCCCAGGACAGCTGCATCTGTCCTAGCGGAGCTGTGCAGCCACCAGGAAACTCTCCTGAGTCTGCTGTTATGTGCACATGTGTGCAGGTGTATGCATGTGTGTGCATGTGTGGGTGGTAGCCTGTGTACTCATGGGTGCATGCATAGGTATATGCATGGATGCATCTGTATTTGTAAATCATGTCATGCATGCCACAGTGACATGCCCTTTACAGCCCATAAAAGCCTGCAAGGGCCAACCGTGCCTAGGTCTCATGGGTGAAGTCCCCAGGTATACTTTCTTTCCTGGGGTGCAGGTTGGCTGTGTGGATGCAATAGTGCTTGCTGGGGCTAGAACCTAGACTTGAAGAGTGTGCAAGGGGTGAGCTGGAGGAAAGGGGATGGGGGTGAGGGGGAGACAGGCCCACTCAGACACCTACTGCTGTCTCCAGGCAGTGCCCACTATTTGGTTTCCCAAAGCATCCGTGGCAGAGTGGTGAGTCCATTCTGTGACTGAGCCCTCCCCCATCCCAGTAGAGTTGGGGTGTTTTGATGTGCAGGGGCTTGGGGCTGAAGACCCCAAGGCAGTGTGGTGACCTGAGGGTACAGTTGGCAGAAGATCTCAGAAAGGGCAGGGTGCTGCTGCCTTGGCCTTCCACACCCAGCATGTGTTCCTGGCTTGGGTGGTGCAGGTGCCTGCGGCTATCGCATCCCACTTGCTGGGCCCTGGCTTTCCTCCCCAGGATAGGGCCCACTGGGGTGTTCCTGCATCTTCATGCTGTTCAGGACCATCAAAAGGGAACCTGACCAAACACAACGTCCCACGGGAGCTACCCTGTTGGTAGAGTCATACCTCCCTGCCTCACTGATCATACGAGTGATGTCTTTTCTGCCATATCAGGGATGTTGGTGCTGAGGCAGGGACATGCCCTTATATGCAAGGCCTGAGCTAGAAGAACAGCTCAGGGTGTCGGCCTCTGCCTGGGTGCAGGGAGGGAGAGGTAACAGACTGCACTGCTCACACAGACACTGTCTAAGAGAGATTTATTTTTATTGTGTAAAAATACTGTCCAGAAACAAGGACAACAGGACAAACCAGCTCCATCCAGCTAAGGAAGAGCTATAGCCCAACTTGGCCACCAGAGCCCAGGGCTTAGGGACCAGCTCCAGGAGCTGAGAAAGGGATGAGTCTGCCACAAATCTGAGGGCACTAAGCCCACCTTGCCCAGGACTTGCTGAATTCCTCTCAACACTGAAGCCAGCAGCTTGTCCCCAATACCTTGCTGGTGCCCCAGGCTCTTAATGTACAGTCAGCGTCTACCTGGTCACTGTCCCTTCACCCTGGCAGGAGGCCAGCCTCCTTCTCCATCAGCCGAGTGACCATGCGTAGGGCCAGGGGCAGGGCTGTGTTGACATCACGGTGGTAACGGGGACTACACACCTCCATGCTTGGTGTGAACACAAACTGGGCCACGCTGGGCATCTTTAGCAGGTTCAGCAGCTCCGTGGCCCGGGTACGGATGGCTTCTGCTCCCTCTTCATCTTGTGAGCAGCTGGAAGCTGGGCTCTGGGCCAGGGTCCTCATCTTTGACAGCAACAGAGAGACCCTGGGGATGAGAGGGCCCCAGTTAGCTGCAGACATTCCTCTCAGCACAAAGGGGTCTGCATAGAGGGTTAGCCCTCTTGGCAGTGTCACCACCCTGGTCAGCCCAGCTGGCATGGCACAGCTGCCTGTGTACACCCCAGACCCTGCACAGATGAGGCTATTTCTGGAGACTAGAACCTCAGAAGCCACCTCTTTCCCTATACAAGGCTGGCAGGTTTTTCTCTCCCCACTCCCTGACCAGGCACCTGGGAATTAGGTCTTGGCTCCGGGAGGCCAGTTTAGTAAGTGTGGTCATAAGCACGGTGACAACCTGTGGTGGACATCTGGGCAGGGTGGTAGGACGGGACTGGGTGACCTCAAACAGCAGGGCCTCCAGGGCTTCGAAGAACTTGTTGATCTGCTCCACAGTGCACCTCCGGTCACAGGTCACTGATAGGTACTCACCAACAGCCCACACCTAGGTCCAGGGACAGAGGCTCAGTCTCCATCCAGACCTCCATCAGGGAGTCTGTGAGAAGCTAGTACCTGGCCTTACCACGCTGGTGACCATGCTTGCTCTGCTATGGATGCTGCTCACACTGCCCAGGAACTCCAGGAGGTCTCTGGCTAGCTCCACCACCAGGGAGGGCCTCAGCTTGCACAGGACTAGGAACTGGGAGCTCAGTACCCTGCCCAGAGCACCAGGCTGCTGAGGGCTATCTGTATGTTTTGTGTAGACCTGAGCCTCCTGGCCACCCCATGGGTGGCAAGAACCCAGAAGTGAAAAGGGAAGCATCTGAGCAGCCAAGTGAAGGCTCTACCCTCATCACCCCCATCCCCAGGGAAGAAGGCTGAGATCAGCATTGTCCTGAGAGTGGGCTTGAGTGGAGGATGCCAAGCCTACAGCATCAGGCCTTTGGAGAGAACCATCCCTAGGGATAGAGGGACTGCAAGAGGAGCCCAAGCCGGCACACAGAGACTGTGGGCTTTGGGGAGGAAATGGCAGGGGCTACATAGTTATGGGGAGGATGGCAGGACCTGAGGCTGTTGAGGGCCAGCCTGAAGAGTGGAGCTATAGTCACCAAAGGGGAAGTTAAAAATCCAAGATGTGGCATGCTAAAATAAGGGGTAGCAGCACCTGCTCAAGGGATATGGGGGCTGCACCAGTGCCCACCTGTGCACGCAGGCTTCGTACTGCGGGACTTGGTAAAGTGAGTCGCTTCTCTCTAGGAGTAGGAGTGCCAGCTGGTTGGTCAGGGACCCACTAGTGACCTGGAGATCAAGAAAGCACTGCTCAGTCCCACACCCACCGCAGACCATTTACTACCCTTGGAGGCCAATGGAGGGGGCAGAAACTCCTTGTCCTCTGCCCTCCTAAGCCACACTGGGCCTGGGGGTAGGTGAGTGAGAGGGAAAGGAAGCACCTGGGGCCAGCCAATGCTCCCCTGCTATGTCCTGCCCCACAGGGCCCCAAATGGCCTGGCCCCATTCCTATTCCCTGCTGGCCAGACAGGTTTGTAGAGCTCCCCAGGTGGGACCCACTGGCCTGTGGTAACCTTTATTTTGGCCCTGGAGGCAGACGCCTGCAGACCTTAGAGGTTGCAAGGGTACCAAGGACAGACTGCTCTGGCTATAGCTATACCACTGGTCCATCCTGAGGACAGGAGACAGGACCTGGTCCTTTCCCTGTGCTGCCTGACCCTCAGAGTGGTCACAGACAGGTCGTATGGCAGGTTAACTTTTGCAGAGGTTAAGAAGGGTGACACCATGGTCCCTGCTCTGGGCCTCCCCTTGGTCCCCCGCTTGGTCCCCAGTTGTCTGAGGCCATGGGAATAGGGTCCCAGGCAATAGGCTCACCTGGGTCACTGCTGAAAAGAACATATGAAGCAGGGTGGGCACAGCCTCAGCGCACTGGGCCACCCGGGCACAGCTGGCCATGGGCTGCAGCAACTGGTAAAGTGGCGCCAACCTGGGGACATGAGGCATGGCCCACTGAGTACCCACCCACTCCCTTGACCTAATGGTCACAGATACACTCTGAACACAGGAACCCATGTGACCTCATAGGCTGATGCCTGCAAGAGGAGGAGAGGACAGACAACAGGAATTGTCAGGTGGCCTTCCTGGTCACTGTCTTTGAGCCTGCAACTCACTGCTCTGTGTTCTTCGGGACCACTTGCTCCCGTGGGGCTCAGGGAGACCCCAATACACCAGTGTACCCAGGACAGTGGCACAGCTGGGACGCACAGAGCTGTTGGCAGTTCCCCTATCCAAGGCCCCTACCTCTCTATGGTGCCGCTGGCTTTAGGGCGCAGCAGGTGCTGGAAAAGCCCCTGGAACTGTGGGTCCCGGAAGGCTTCCAGGCAGCTGGGGATCCTGAGAGACGTATCCCAGAGTGGCCTCTCAGATGCAGCTGGCCACAACCTGTGAGTGCAGATGTCAGAGGCCAGGTGGGACATGAGCTTCTGGTGCAGGCCACCCAGGGTCTGATTTGGGCCCTGCCTTTAAGGGCATCTATTTGTCAGGGAGAGGTGAGCTGGTGTCACTATGACACATAGCACCCTGATCCAGCCATGCCCTGGGGTGATAGGGAGGGGCAAGGGGCAAGAGCCCACAGGCAGCTTGGCCACTGATTATAGAGATGGCTGAGGAGCTGCAGGGTTTAGGGGCTGCCCCAAGCGGGTGGAGGAGGGCGTCAAAGATGCGCCCTGCCTTTGAGGGGCTGTGCAGGGTGAACAGCTGGTTGACAGGCACAAGGGGGGCTGGCAGAGGGGACAAGTGGGGACCTACCTGAGCTGTAGGTCCAGGGCTGCTGTCAGGCAGGGCAGGTCCAGCAGCGAGTGTAGCATCTCCAGAGCCGTGCCAGAGTCGACCAGAGCTGGCAGAAGCTCCACAAACTCTGAGGTGAGGGGTGGGCTGTTCCAGGCCAGGAACTGCATGGCAAACATCAAGGCTCAGATGGGGCCAGCACCAGGGGCTGCAGGGGGGAGGCAGCCAGGATCCCGCTGCTGCTGTCAGTCCACCATCGCCACAGGGGCCCTGGCTCTGCCCCTCTACCACCTTCTTGCATAAACAAATCAATCACTTCACACCCACCGTCGCTTTTCTCTAGAAAAAAGATTCAGTCTCTAACTGGGTTTAAAAAGCTACATAGTGAAGTGCTGGCTGCAAAAGATACATCAAAACCCAATGGCACCAAAAGGCCACCAGCACCATAAGCCTATGTGGGTTTCTATGAGAACTCACCAAGGCCCATGTAACTACCCTTCCCAAAGGACCTGCTTACAATTTTCTCTGACGGTGACACTGTTTACAAGTGATTGTGCAGACACTCTGGGCCCCTCATCTTACCCTGCACCCCACATTCCAGACCTGGGACCCACTGGGCTCTATACCCACAGTCAGACTCTTCTGTAGGCACCACCAAGAGGGAGAAGATATGGGCACCTGCCCCCCTGCACCCAAGGATGCCCAATGTGCCTTAAAGAGGTTAGGGAAAGTCAGTTTGAGGATGCTGAGGTTCCCGCCAAACAGGTGCAGGTTGTCCCTGCAGAACTGGATGAACTCGAAGGCCAGCAAGGGGCTGTGGAAGAGCTCGGCCGGGACCCTGGTGAACAGGTGCTGGTAGATGGCTTCTGAGTCCACTGCAGCTGCCTCTCCTGTGAGAAATCAGAAGCCATCAGCATGCACTGCCCCAACCCACATCAGCACCTTGAACTTGTCCTGAAATGCTTCTCTCTGGCCCCTAAGAGTCTCAGGCCAAGTCTCTAGGACAAAAAAGGTTTCGAGATATCCTACTCAAGGACACTGGTTAAGACACACACTGTCTTCATTTCCCAGAAGCCACAGGCAGCGCCTCTGAGTAATACAAACTATGGAACAACCTTTGGAAGGTGCTAGCTCCTCACTATCTGGGTTTCACAGGCCAGTATCATGGCAGTGTTTTGAGACTGACATAAAGTTGACAATGTTATATTTTGCCGTTAAAAATTCAAAAATTGCCACCACCTAGTGCCAGTAGTCCATGAAAGAAACAACACTCCAAAATGAAAACCCTGGGGGAAGGAGCCACCCTCCAATGACACAACCGCCCCACCAGGTGTGCTCACCATGTGTCAGGAAAAAGTGGGCCAGTGGCAGCAGCACCCGCACGGAGGCCGGGTCCCCACTCAGCCGTCCGTGTAGGGCCTTCAGGCAGGAAATGGTACGGTATAGGAAGGAGGGGTCCTGCCGACACAGCACATCCAGGACCAGCACGGCCTCCACCAGGCACTGTGGGGACACACGGCGATGTAGGACGGGTCTAGAGCTGCCATCCCTGCACCCCTGCGTCCACTTACGGCCTTCTGCAGTTCTGAGTCCCCCTTCCTCAGGGCTCCTGTAGGATGGAGGAAAGATAGCTTGGCTCTGCCTCAGCCATGGAACAGTGTCCTAGAAGATCTAGGTGAGGACTAGGAGAGGAGGGCAGAGTTGGGCAGGCTGTGGGGGACATGGGGAGTCTCGAGGTAGGGTCTAGGGCATAGCCTGAAGGTCCTCAGGCTAAGCCTGCAAACAAGGCAGCAGTCTCCAGCTCCAAGCTCGAGATCAGGGTGCCCCAGTGCCCCAGGGGCAGCTGGTGGAGAACTGATGCCCCTGACTACACCTTGGGGAGGACAGCCCCCCAGGCAGGGTCAGAATTGCCAGGGACTTACGTCGGGTGCTCTGCTCAATGAGGCGCTGGCAGTACTCGAAGGCCACCTCCCTCAGCCGCTCCCGGGGGGGCAGCAGGCGGCTGGTGGCAGAAGTGGCAGAAATCACTGATAGGGTAGAGCCCTCTAGCTCCGACTTGTCATCTGCATAAGGAGAAGACTCTCAGCGGGACAGTGTGTGGCTCCTCAAGCAGGGATACACTTGCTGCTCCTCTGTGGAAATGCAGGAGGATGTGCTCTGCCTGGCCTCCCAGGGGCATGGAGAGACGGTCAGCATTTCCAGGTGCCGGGGCTGCCTCCAGCTTTCCCTGTCACTGGATGTCCTTCAGCGTAGTTGAGGTTTCTTCCCTCACACATTGGTAGCAGTTCAGCGAAGTTGTCCTAGTACCAACTATCTTACTGCTCTGGCTTTTCCATGCACATTGTGATGGTCACCATTGTCTGAGGAGGCCCCCTGGTGGTGGCCGAGGATGCCAATGACCCTGGGCAGGGTGCTTGGCTCAGCTGAGTCTGCAAACCTTTGCTGCTGGCCTCCTGCCATCCTACCTACCATTGTCCAACCCATAGCACACCTGCCCCAGCCCCCAGTGGAGCTCCCTCCTGCCCTTGGCACACCTGTGTCTGGGGCACCCAGGCCCTCAGGGCTTCCATGCAGTAGCCAGGCCCGTAGCATTGAGAAAGCCTGCATATTCAGCCACTGGTCCTCCGTGAAGTGGTGGCCCATGGACAGCACCGTGAAGAAGTCTGTGGCCACTGCCCCATCCACCTCAGTGATGGGGCCTGGCTGCAGGGGAAAGATGGGCAGGGCTGTAGGGCTCCCTCAACGGGGGCATACAGAAGGGACCAAAGCTGAGAGAAAGCTCTCATGCCACTCAGGAGGGCAGAGGAGAAACTTCTCGAGAACATGAGTTCAAGCATGGCCCAGGGACATGAGACCCAAGATCTGTGTGGCCCTGCCCTACCCTGATGCCCTCCTGCAGCCTTGGGCAGCAGCCACTCTTTTTGGGATGCCACATCCTCCTCCACAGGCCCCCAGTGTCAACCATGAGCTGGGGGCTGTGACCTGCCTGACCTAAGCCTCCAAATGGAGGCAGGAATTAAGGGCCAATGCCCAGCAGGGCTGGCTGTGGTGGGCACAGGCCTGCCTAAGGGAGGTTGGTTTTGGAGTCCTGAGTCCCCTGAGGTCTGAGAGCAGCTCCAGCCTCACCTGCCGGGCCCTGGATGCAGAGAAGAAGCCACTAGAGTGTGGGAGCCCTTGCTGGATGCTGGCGTATCGAAGCCAATCAATGAGTCTCTTGCTGAGCAGGGTGGTATGGTCTGCAAAGGGAGTGGTTCACATGGAGGGAAATGGTTAAATCTGTGGATATGCTGTGCTATGTGATGCTGGTAGAGCTTTCTCAGAAAACTGGCAGCTGCTCCCACAAGCCCCATGGCCTCAGCCTTCTGGCCACCCACCTGGCCCACACCCTCTTGGAAAGGGCCAACATACCCTCCTGGAGGATGCCAGGGCTGAGGCCCACAACCTTTGACACGATGGGGAGAAGGTGCCTGAGGCTGGGCCCCTCAGGCTGCCGGCTCTCCAGGGCTCTCAGGATGTGCTGGGCCACGGTTCTGACCTCGTCTCTCCTGTTGCCCTGCAGATTAAACACAGGCCAGATGCCAAGTGCTGACCTGCCCCAGTGCCCCACAAGATTAGCTCTTTCCCACATTTAGGGAATGTGCAGCAGCCTCCATGGCTACCTGGTAGCCAACTTGGCAGAGACTCTGAGCCTGGATCTGCCCAAGCCCCTCCAGTGAGGCAGGGGCAGAAACCTCAGAGGTGGAGGGTCAGGGATCCTGCCTTGTGCAGTCAGCTTTCCAGGCTAGGGGACCACAGAAACCTGACCCGTATCCTGCACAAACACACTGCCAGGGAAGGAACAGCAAGGGCTTATCTTGAAGAGAAATGCAGCAAAGTATGGAAATATCATGTCTGGGATTTGTTCTCAAATAATGAGAGGGTATAGGGACAGAGGCCTGGGCTCCATCGTGCCGTTCCTTCTACTCTGCAATTTTGCAGATGGTCATAGCTAGGACATAGAGCTAAAGGCCAGCACCATGACAGCCCAAACAGCTGCCCATCATGTGTGGCTCAGCACCTTGGTTACCAGATGCCAAGGCTGCCCATGCCCTTCCAGGAAGTACCTGCGAGTGGGACAGGTGTGGTGTGCTGGAGACATGCTTTCCTCTTGGGCTCATGCATCCTAGGCTGTCTCTTATAAACTAAAACCCATCTCCTCTGCTGAGCTTCTCTCATAGTGACATGTCTGTGGACATCTAGAACAGGAACTGTGAAATTCTAAATGCTGCTGCTCTATTAGCCTAACTGATGCCACCCCTACGTGTTCCTGACCTGTGGCCTGACTTGATCTTCACCAGAGTCCTGGGATGGCCACTTCCCAAGGACCATGGGAAGACAGGAAGGAGGGGTACAGAAGTAGGCATGTGTCTGCTTGTTTTATAATTCCAAGTGCCAGTGTTCAGCACACCTGAGATAGTGACAAAACTGCCTAATGGAATGGGAACCCAAGCCAAGCAGGCCATGAAATGTGTTAGGGCATATGAGAGGATGCAGGCCGGCCTGGGTGCTCCTAGTCCAGGACCTGCAGGGCAGGATGGCCTACTGCAGCGCGGATGATCACGTTACCTGGGCCAAGAGCACGGAGGCCACCAGGCTCAGCTGCCAGGTGTTCTGGGTGCAGTCACAGGACATGCTCAGGCTGTCGGAGGGTGACATCTCTCTCAGGATGGCAGCACAGAGAACCTGGAGCGGCTCGGAGCACACAGGCAGGCAGAGGGTGGACTGCAGCAGGTCCACACATGTCTTCTCCAGCCTGTAAGGTAAGACTCCAGTAGTGGTGACATGTCATGCCCCCAGCAACAGCACCCAGCAGCCCAGAAAAGCTGGCCTGGCTCCCTTTGGCCCAGACAGAGTGTTTTATACATGAAGACCTTCAACAGTTTAAGCACATATAGGACTCAAGACCAGGGTGGTGCATTTGCACCAACTGTTGGGCACAGACAAGGTCATCTTAATGACACCACGTTAGGGAATCTGGCCCAAGCAGGGACCATACTTACCTCCGGTTGTACTTGGTGGCTGAGACAATGAGGAAGAGCCTCCGCAGAGAGTCAAGAGCGTCAGGCCCCAAATCTTCCTCTTGCAGCAGTGCACTGATCCGGGAACAGAACTTCCTCAGTTCCTCATCCTGGACCTCCCTAAATAAAGAGGGTATCAGGACCTGGGTGCTGCTCTGAACCACCAGAATGACCCTTTGGCTGGGTGAAAAACCACTTTAGCAGAGAAAGCTGAGTTTGGGGGCAAACTGTGGTCCCACCACTTACAATGCCTCTTGAGATAAACTCGCTGATGACCCAAACCTCTCTGCTAGGATCTGGGGATCTATCACTGCCATGATATACTCTGACAAACCTCAGTAATGGAGATGCTATGCATTCAGATTTAGCTATTCCAGGAGCAAAAGAACGAAAACCGTTTTTAGGAGCCTCATTCAAAAGGAGGAAATTTAGTCTAAAGTTGCTTTTTAAAAGATGTCTTCAGAGACCCTTTCACTTATGGGAACAGTTAAACCTTATATATTAAAGAGTAAATATTCCAACATATTGTAAGATAAGCCTATGATAATTTCTTACTCTAATACTCAATTGGCTTAATTTAAAATCTCTCTATTGAGCACTGGCCACAATATACTGAACAAAGGCTCAAAATGGAAACTTGTTTTTAGTTTTCTTTTCAATTTAAAAGGTAAGAAAAGGTAACATGTGAAGGAGCTACTGCACTGGGTACCTCTGGGGACTGAGAAGGCCCCCCTGTATGGCTGCCACCCCTACTCTGGCCTCCAGTTTGCATACTAAATTCATTTGGGAACTGCTGCCTGAGCTGGGAACTGGGAGCCTAGAATGGGGGCCCGAAACAGGGAGTCCCAGCATCTGGGGCTGAGAAGGTTTAATGAACATGTAGGGTTGAGGTCCTAAGTGCCCCACCTCACCTGTTTTCTGCCTTTCCTTGAGGGTTGTAAGATAAATACCAATAAATTGCTCACCACCCTTCAACCCTCATTTTCTATTTTTAACTTAAGCTGAACAGAATCATTTCCAGTCACCTAAAAAGAAAAGAACAGATACACACTGTCTGAGGAAAAGGAAGAGGAAGACAGAAAACTAGTCTAGGTTTGCGTTTAACTAATGTTTAAACCACAAACACTAAACAAGACTGAGGAGGAAGCGCCCAGATTTGTCTTGCAATCCTCTCAATGTAAGGCTTCTTTCTAAAAATCCCAAGCCTTCAATAGCTCCCCACTGATTTCAAATCCAAACTCCTATGAACCCTAATGTTGCTTATGTGGCCCTGGCCCTTTCTTCCTTCTCCAACCATCAAGTCCTGTTTCTCTGACTTCTGCTCCTTTGCTTAGATCCTACCTAAAACAGACGCCACTCTTCCTCCTAGATACCTCCCCACCTTGCTATGCACTCCCTCCATAGCTCCAGGCCAGTATCTGTATCACACTTTTGCCTTCTATCTTTCAGCTTACAGAGATGTTTTTGATAACGTTTTCCACCCTCACTTTCCATACCTTTGATGTATTTAGAGAAACTGAAGTTCATTCTACATCCTGACTCTCAAACTGTAGCTGTTTACTAGAAACAGGGTCTCCCTCTGTTGCCTGGGTGGAGTGCAGTGGTATGATCACTCCCGGTCTCATTAAGTGATCCTCCAGCCTCAGGCTCTGCAGTAGCTGGGACTATAGGTATGTGCCAACAAGTCCAGTTAATTTTTTATTTTTTGTAAGAAAATATGTTTCCTAGGCTGATCTCAAACTCCTGGCCTCAAGTGATCCTTCTGCCTCAGCCTCTCAAAGTATTGAAATTATAAGCATGAGCCACTGTGTCTATCCCATAGCTCAGTGGTTCTCAACCTTCCTAATGCAGTGACCCTTTAATACAGTTCCTGTGGGTTGCTACCCACAGGTTGAGAACTGCTGCCAGAGCTGTTTATTTCAAAATGCCACCAGAAATAAAGTATATTGTGAAAACTAGTAATCTCCAACTGATAGGTTATTAACTTTCTAGAAAACTGAACAGAGAAGACCTATATTTTAGTTACAGCAAGTCAAACATACTCGATCTTCAACATGCCCACCCAAGACTGACACGAAAACAGAAATTTAACTAGTGAGGGCTAATTCCTTTTGCCTTTCATTCCCCAAGTTTATGACTTGAGTAGAATATAACTGGGGAATGAAGTTTCAGTGGGTTCGTTTACTTGTCTCCTAGTCAGTTCTTTGGGGTGAACATGCTACATGTGGACATGCCAGTATTTTTCATTTAATTCAGTCCCTGAATTTAAATAAACCACACATCTGTCCATTATTGAATGGAAAGTAGAGTGTGGGGCTTATTGGAAGAATGGTACTGCACACTTACTAAGTACTTTCCTAAGAGATTTTCAAGAGTGTTTTTTTCTTAAACTGGGGCTTCCGATCTTGGCTAAAGTGGTACTCAACTCCTGGGCTCAAGCAATCTTCTGGACTCAGCCTCCCAAAGTGCTGAGAGTACAGACAAGAGCCACTGCCCCCAGCCTCGAGCGTTATTTTGACAAGACATTGCTGTCCTGTCCACAGATTTTAGAACTTTATCTACTTTCATGACTTTGCTCACTATAATTACAGAAACTTCAACCATCCTAGTCTTTCCCACCAGTTGGTCCAGCTCTGAATCCAGACTGGTTGATTTAATTTTATGTTTACCAAGAGCTTATGGTTTTGGTGCATTTTCCTTTTTTAAAACAAGTATCAAGTCTTGACTGTCTGGTTGGCTGTGGGGCTTTTTTAGTCCTGACTTACACCCTGCTTTCTCCCCTGACTGATTAGTGAGGAGGGGGCTACCCATTAAGTTACTGGGAATACAGGAACAGCCTGGCAAGAGAAAATAGTGGGTCATTTCTCAATTTAGCCAATACATATACGCGAGAGGGAGCTTTCTAAATCAAGAAATCCGCCCAGGACTCCCCAACGCCCCACAGCGTGGTATCTAGCTCCGTAGCGTGGTACACAACTTAGCCGCAAACAAGTGTGCTCTGGAGTCCGAAGCAACTATCAGCTGCTGGCTACATTTCCCGCCAGACATGAGGTTCTCACTATCACCTGGTCCCGCCCCCCGACTTCCTTCTACTCATCCTCCCCAACTCTGCTCAGGCATAACGCCTCTGGGGACCCAGCTGGGCACTCCCCTGACCGCCGCACCCCGTGCCTGGCTGGCGTGCCACCTTCCTGGTTCCCCGAATCTTAGGAGCGGGTCCAGCCGGGCTCCCGGACATAGACCCAACGCCCCTATGGAGAGATACGGGGATGGGGGGGCGTGCCGAGCCACAGCTTCTCCGCACCTGGCCTGCCGGAGCAGACTCTCTGCTCCTGCCGTGAACATCTCGCTGCTACCGCCGTCACCCGACACTAGCACAGACGAACCTTGGGTGCCTGGGCCCAGCTGCCGGGTGACTTCCGGGACGCGTCACGTGCCGCGTCCACGTGGGCAGGGCGGGCAGGCCTTTGGCCAATGGGCTTTGGCGTGAAGCGTCTTGGGGCGGGTCCGCGGGTCCGGGCCAGGGGCAGCTTTTGGCGCTGTTCGCGGGTGGCGGATCCCGGAACCTCGGGACCCCGGAACCTTGGTACTCTGTTACTTCAGGACCCCGGAACCTAGAGGCCCCTAACTTTGGCACCCCGGAGTCCCTTGACCTGGAACAGCTCCTGATGGAAACTGGGAACCCAGAGCTTTAGAGGGCGCTTCTGCCCCTGCCCGGATTCTAGTTTCTGCTTCGTAACAGCAGCTTGGTCCTGTGCGAGCCCCGAGGCTGAGGTCTACCTGAAGATGTTACACAAATTCCGGGACTTGTGAGCGAGTCCAGTGGCGCCCGGCAGTTTGCGAAGAACAGCTGCGTTTCTTAGCGGTTGTTTTTTAAGGTCCTGTTTACTTAGCACCACCCGGCTCTGTCCGTACTGCTTTAAAAAATTTAATTCATTCCTCTCTGTAGTCCTCACTGTAGCGACTGGATGTCGCTATCTCGGTTTTGCCGGCGTGGGGGGAGGCCAGTTTCTATAAATTGTAAAAGACGTCCTGGGTACCAGGATGTGCTTGGCGACAAGTATTTCTATCCAGCAAGTCGCGTGGAGACATAGGACAACACCTCGCAGTCACCATCCAGCGTGAGAAACGCTGTTACAGCCTGAACGGGGCGGGGATCTCACAGGAGGAGGGTTTCCTGAGAAACTGCAGCCTATAATGAACCAAGAGGATGTCCAGACCCAGGGATAGGCTTAGCGGAGGGCAAGGAAGGCAGCTCGCGACCTGCGGCCTGTGGCTTAAGTGTGCCCTTGAGGGGCAACCTGCCCTCTGGCCTCAGGGTAGAGTGGCTTAGGAAGAAAGGGAGGGAGAGAAAAGGCGCTGCAGCTGTGGCCCAGGAGGGGGAGATGGCCTGGGAAATAACAGACCCAGTAACCGTTAATTCAGGAGTAGAATTTGCAGGACCTGTGATTAACACATTTGGGGTCAGGAGATAATCAAGGAAAACTCAAGAATAAGAGCATGTTTCTGCTTTGAGCACTGGGCGTTGTCATCCCGTGGTACTGAGGCAGAAAAAGGCGAAAGAATCATTTAGGCTCAGCGCCTGTAGCTCAGCAGCCAGGGTGCCAGCTGCAGACACTGGAGGTAGAGGGTTCGAATCCAGCCCGGCACTTCCAAACAACAATGACAACTACAACCAAAAAACAGCCTGGCGTTGTGGCAGGCGCCCATAGTCCTAGCTACTTTGGAGGCTGAGGCAAGAGAATCGCTTAAGCCCAAAAGTTGGAGGTTGCTGTGAGCTGTGACACCATGGCACTCTACCCAGAGCGACAGCTTGAGACTCTGTCTCAAAAAAAAAAAAAAAAAAGAATCATTGACTCAGTGAACAAGCAGTGATTGGGCCCTGCCAGCACCAGGCACTGTTTTAGGTTCAGGGGAAGAAACTAGTGAAGGGGAATGAGTGTTCTTTGGATAGGGCTTTACAGGGATAAGCACTGACACTATGTGGAGGAAAAGAGGAAATGTGAGGAAGACCAGGCAATTACCTGCAGGAATATGGACACAGTTTTAAGTCTAGAGCCCTGTAGATGGTTGATGGCTACTTGGTGCTGAGGAGGAACAGGAGCCTATGAATGGTGAGCAAAGATGCTAGGATGCTACCTTTAGGGAGTTCATGGACTGCAGTGGGTGCCCAGAGAAGCCTGAGGAGCTGCAGTTTGGATAGGGAGAGAACTGGCAAAGACTACTGGCTGTAAGTAGCCTGGGGAAAGCCTAGTGCTTGCTAATGTTTAATGTAAAACATATACACAGTAAAGTGCACAGATCTTAAAAGAACTTGATATTTTACTTCTCAGTGGTAAATTAGCAAATGTCTTAGCTCTATTTAGGCTCAGGTTGGGGGGGCGTGATTTGTGTTTGATAATTTCTGTGGTGTAAATATTCCTGCCATGGCTGGTTTCAAGATGCAAACTATTCCCAGCTCCTTGGTGCCCCTTCCCAGGGGTAACCTCATTTCCATCCTCTTTTTATACTTCATGCAAATTGAACCGCGTGCTTTACCATTTTTTTGTTCTTCCATGGATATTTTGTTTGCTTCCAGATTTTGGCAATAATGAATTATTGTGCAGTGCACAATCTTAGGTCTTTGGGTGGGGGATATGCACTCACTTCCCTCTTTGATATATACCCAGGTTTGAAGGGTAGCTAACTTTTACTGAGACCTTAAACTATGTGCCAGAAATTAAATCAATCTCAGTCTGTTCCCTGAGACACTCCAAGCAATTTAATCAAGGATATTTATTATTTGACTTGTTTCTTAGGAAATTTACATTTGTGGGCTTGGCCCCTATAGCTAAATGGTTAGGGCACTGGCCACATGCACCAGGGCTGGTAAGTTCGATACCAGTCCAGGCCTGCTATACAACAATAACAACAACAACCAAAAAAAAAAAAAAAAAAAAAAGCCAAGTGTTGTGGCGAGCACCTATAATCCCAGCTACTTGGGAGGCTGGGGCAAGAGAATTGCTTAAGCCCAAGAGTTTGAGGTTGGCTTGGTGCCTGTAGCTTAGCAGCTAGGGCGCCAGCCACATACACTGGAGGTGGCAGGTTTGAATCCAGCTGGGGCCCACCAAACAACAATGACAAGTACAACCAAAAAATAGCCAGGCATTGTGGCAGGCGCCTGTAATCCCAGCTACTTGGGAGGCTGAGGCAAGAGAAATCGCTTAAGCCCTGGAGTTTGAGGTTGCTGTGAGCTGTGATGCCAG